AGAAGACAAACAATATACTGCTATTCTAGGACTCTTTGAGTCGAAAAAAACATTTTGGCTCAACATGACGGTCGGACTTTTGCCGCTTTCTTCTTTGCACATTCTTCTCAATGCCCTAAAGCAAGCTTACTTACGCTGCAAATGAATTCCGCTCGCCGCTAGGATTTACACTGACTTGCTTGTGTTAGTTGACTGGGCAACCCCAATACGGCTGATTACTGCAGTCCAAGCCAGCAAACTGTATTTAGTCACAGAACTGCGTGCAATTGAATCGCGAATATTAGATGCGCGAAAAGTTAACGTTAAAACCCAGAATTTTTGTCGTTGGCTTGTGGCGCATGACAAAACTCGCCTCATGTGAAGGTACAGCGTTTGTCTACCTAGCAGGTAACAGATATTTGAAGCATTCAGATGATGGTCATTCTCATTTTTGCTCCTTTTTGCATCATCAGTGTGCAGGTAACCGGTGGTCATCTGCATGCGGCACTACCATACTTCTACAATCATTCATTATATTCGTTCACTTTCTCCGTGTGTAATCCCTGTTACGAACCTCGCTATCAGCGAGTTCTTATTAATGTGGTTATCATCACCGCAAACTGTGCTTGCGCTAACGCACTTTACTTTTTTCACTTCCAGCCTATCCTGTCACTCAGTTCGGTGGAACGAAGCGGTTCATCCTCTCCACTGAAAGCTGGCTTGGTGGTCGCAATCCAACGTTGGGTATAGCTTATATAATTGTGGGCTCAATCTGCTTGGTTCTGAGTATATTGTTCCTCATTCTACACTATCGTCTACCCCGAAGGTTAGTTAGTTCAATGCGGTCCATAAAAACAAATGCTTTTTTATATTTATGGAGACGTTCATATGATTGGAGTAGAAAACCATTAACATTGTTGAAAAAGGCGTAATATGACTAACTCGTATAACTCAGTCAGTGTTATCCCTATCGATGTGTTCGAGTAACTCACTTGCTTTGCTGTATTTAGACATAAACAGTCGTGTATGCTGTTTATAGTGAAAATTTCGATCCTGACTACCTCAAGAGTTCACGGAGATTCAGTTATCGTGCTCGAGATCCCATCATTGTTGATCGAAGTTTGTTGGTTTGTCGGTTTGCTTAGCCCATATCAAATCAGTGGATCACTTTATACTCCAGGAGTACCGACTTAAAAGTGTTTGGGGAACGCTTCAGACCCCGTTTACTCGTGGCTTTGCACTCTCATGATTGGATGACTTCTCCTCTCTGATCGTGTTTCATGTAGATTCCATCGATGGGGTGAATGGGTGAACTGGTATTCCCACGTGTGGTTCTTGTGCTTGTAAGCCTATATCCTGGTGATCATTGGGTCCCCGGAAATTGACGACTAGTTTGGATAAACAGTTCGGTTAGCTGTTCTTTGTAGGTAAAAAGTAGATTCTGAAGTCCCAACCGAGATTCCAAACTGCTGAAACCAATTTACGCTGAAAGCCCGATAAGTCATGCCATCGCCATTAAGAGCAGGCATCTTATGAGTCTGTTGGGAGAGCACAGCCCACAACTTTCTGCTTTAACCATATCGTTCAATGGTGACACTGTTGGCACATAGTTACCACGTGACCCGAAGAAGGTTCCGCCGGGTTTCTCAAGCTAGGGAAAATCGAAAGACCTTGAGTGGTAAATCACACCTTGCTACTCCTAGCTCAGCTTTCTGTCTAGCAGCTGAACCCTATTTAATTCAACCGCAAGTGCCTGATCATTCATATGAACAGGCTACACATGAACAGGAAACAGCATGACTTATTGTATTCCCTTTGCAAACAGTTTATCTAGACGAGAATATTCCAAGTCCAGTTCACCTTGCGCCCAAGACTGGTTGTTCCTGAGATCACTGCGGACAAAAGAGCGCACACACTTTACGAGCTTATATAAATGGGGTTCTCTTTGAGCCGAACTTCCCGAGATCTGATCGCATCTTTCTCCACAACACGAAATATGGATTGATTTTTCTAACGCCAGGCAGCATTCTCCTGGTCGCTTTCGTTTGTTTCACATTTTACTATCTTAACTGCAACTGAATCCGACGTCACCCCAAGTACACCGCAGTCCACACTGATTTCTCGCTCATTCACATCGGCCAAATTTTGACCATGTTTCGGTGAATGGTAGTGTGTTGCTGTACCTCGCTTTGTCTGCCAATTTAGTCCAGAGAGGTGGACGGTGAAAACATGCTAACGGAAACTGCAAAAAAAACAATTCTATTCCAATGCGAACACCGCAATAAAAACTGGCCCCATTCCTAGGTATGCAGATGAGTGTATTAAGGAGCACCTAGTTTTATCGGATGCACCGACTGTTATCCGTCATTCATATCAATAGCACAAGCTCACTACAATGAAATAAGAATAACGAGTAATGATGAAGCAAAAGCCGTAAAACCCGTCATTTCAGACTTTACCGGCAAGCCATATGTAATATATACGCTTACGCTGCCAAGTCATTCTGGACTAATGTAGGATTTGCTAAGGGAAACATTTTCTGCCTTCTTCCTCAGTTGTACACTGACAGGAACCACGGATGTACACTGTTGAACAAGGAACTACCCTTGATAAGGTTTACACAAGGTAATTTGACAGTGTGAACACGTGATCACCAAGGATGTAAACTTTTCACAAGCCGTGAAATAGGTGATCACTCATTCCTGACAGGTCTACGCAAACCTGTAACGCAGGGCTTTGTTATCGTCATTCGACCCTCTTTCCAGGTTATAGGATTCCAGGAAGAATGTCACGAGTGCTACGCTTCTTCCACATTTCCACGTTCGACATCGATGCACTTCTTTTCATTTAGTCTAAAATAGGGAAATATATTGTAAACTCACTGTGTTTCATTGCCGGTCCACATGATTCAGCAAATACACTTGTGTTCAGGTATGACTTTTCAGAGGCATTATTTGTCCGTGATGCACTTGAATTTGTCTTGCAGAAGCTTTGTTTACTACTAATCGAGCGGGCACCAAGCACGATAATCTTATGCTCTGTGAACGGTTTCCATGTGTTTTGTACTAGAAATCCACAATTCTCAAAAGCCACGGTCATGAAGTTCTACATACTGAGCCCAGTGAACGTATGCCGAATGGCGACAAGTAGATGGTTTATCTTTTTCTCCTTGATGTTTCTTCGTTTGCGCGGAAATGCTTCGGCAAATACGATAAGCCAGTGTGTGTTTTCGTTTGATGCACTCCTTTGTGCAGCTATTGGATCACATTGTTTCCTTTTCAACAAATCTGGGGGATAGCTTACGCCATACTTTTCTGTCGTAACTTTTCAGAGTTCGATCGTAAACGAGTGCTTCTTGCGAATGACTGTGGGTTTTGCGAACATGGCGAGTATCTATCTGAGCTTCCCCAGCACCACTCTTCATGAATTTGGCTGTGATGAATACAAATATTGTTTTCTCTTTTTATTTGGCATATTTCTATGACAGTGTGCTTCAGTGCCTTCATTTTTCTCTAGTTGGTGTTCATACATCCTCCGTGGTTTCCTGTAATCGACTGTTTTCAAAGTTTACCGTTTGCTCCTCACCTCACACATTCCGATTAGTGACTGTTTCTTTAAAGATGACTGAGCGTAGGTTGAAACCCGCCATCAATCCATCCGCTGACTGCGTGTGCTCTGGTTTAGTTGAAGTGCCCCTATATTGTTCTAACGTATGAGTTAACATGTTTTTTCGGCGTGTACTTATCTATCCGTTGGCAATATCTTCTTGGTTGTGTACGGATCTACACGATAGCCATCACACGTACTTACCATGCGTATTGGACTCTCCCGTCGATTGATTGTGTACGTACTTGAAAGAATGCGAAAACAGAGAATCTCCTACATATAGGAAACAAGAAGCTAGGAAGGGCGAGAAACCGCCTAGAGGGTTGTGCTTTTTTAGTACCTTTGCAGCACGTTGAATGCTGAGCTAATGGAATCTGCAAGTTGTCCGAGGATTTTCCAGTGGCAAAGGCGGATCATAAAATGGCATGGCGAATTATTGCGCACTTCATAATTGACGTAGGTCGCAGTTCATCGTGGATCACGTGCTGTTAGTGCAATGACGTTCGAATAGGAAGAATTTTCGGATCTACGACCATAGTTAGTGGATAAAAAGCCTAACTTCAAGCCGAGGGATAAACTTTCAAGGAACAAGTGATATTACCTGTTCCAGCCCAAAAATCCAGGGCATTTACCAGAATTTTATTCCGAATAGGAGAGACTCCGTGGACGCTACATGGACGCGATTCGGTATAGCTCAGAGGACTACGATTAAGCTCAGTCTGCTCCTGACTCTTTAAGGGTACCACAGCAGTTCCGTGATAGCTCACCCAAGAGCAGGGAAGCCCACCTCCCGACTAGAACGCATTATATAACTGGGAAAGCCGCATCACTCCTGATGGATTCATAAGCAATCTGTCGATCTGTAGCCTGCATGTTTGCGCTCCAGTATCGTTTTGACATTTGGTAATAAACCTGCTGGTCAAACCTTCGGACAACCCGTGAAGTACTTCATTACGTTTGTATTCCTGTCTGTCCTGCATGGATCCTATGCTTGTAAATCATTTTCCTATAAATTCAACCAACTTGCCGACAGTGCACCTCCAAGGTCGAGTTGTGGCACGGCGCTACCATCCAGAAAGTTGCGCGCACTTGACTTTCGATTTCCTGTACACTTTGACATCGTCCGACAGTGTGTATTGTTTTCATTCAAGAATTCTGTGGCGTAGCTGCACGCATGCGCACATTTTCCCACCAAGTCTGATCACCACACTCACTTGCAAGGTTCACCCAACTGCATTTACATGCTGAACTATTCGCCGCAATCGTTTCTGTGAAGTTCCGTTCCACACAGAAAATCCTATCGAATACTTGCCTTTAGGTGACGGAGTGTCGTGCCCTAAATCTAAACAAAATAATCTGGAAGGACGATCTACGTGGGTTCACCGAAGTATTCCCGTTAAACGCACGACGTATAAGGCCCGTTAGACGACGTAGGTTTTACGATAACTACCGACATAACACTCGTAGAGTTAGCAAAAGGAAGAAAACAATTGCACGGAAACATGATTTAGGATTTGTCGGTCTTTGATACCATAAATGATACATACTGCGGTGTGTCGGGACTATTCACTTGCAGTTTTGACGAAAAAATACTTGCAACTCTCGTTAGTCCCTCCTCAGGGGAAATCACTTCCCGATTGTTCTACTTCCATGAGTGTTCATTCAGTACGTTTGAAAACACCAGATAAAAACGAAAGTTAACAGTCACACCCATATCACTCTGAATATCAGGACAACTGCTGACCAGTGGGAGGCCGTGTTTGACAGATATTCAGTTGCCACCCGAAAGGCCTATTGGCATAGTTCGAAGTAGTAGCAGGCCAGTGTTTCTAGATATCTTAGCTCAGCTTTTATGGTCACTCGGGTGATCGCGTTTGACGGTGCAGGTGACTATTCGGTTAACATCGTATGGATTCGATAGCTTGATGAAAAATGCCCCCGAATACAAAAGCGCAGTAAAGCGGTACGAGAATAGCACAATAAATTGAGTTAAGGTGATCTGCTGGAGTACGTGATGGTGTGGGCGTTCTACCATGCTTCAGGACTAGCTGTTGAAGAATGGCGCTGATAAGATACTCTTTCCGAGACAATACCTCCATCCGTCGAACAACTTTGGGGGCATGATATTTCCTGCTTCCAAACAAAAATTAAACTTGCCAGAACCGAAGAGGAGACCTTAGGTTCAGAAAGGTAAGGTACCACATTGTAGAATCCGGTTTGTGGATTTTCTATTACTTCAAAGACTATGTCAAGTGCACAGATGACACACCAGATCACGTAGGCAACAGAATCGCTTGAGGTAAGTCACTCGTTGAAGGGCATACAACTGAAGGATAGAGTGAAACAACGGCCGATAATTCAATACCTCCCTGATCAGTGTTTCCGTTGTTACTCAAGAAGGCGTTTCCGCGCTTAATGGTACCTGTTGACGTGTAGCTAGAAGGAAAACGCCCCTGGTGACCTATCACTAGGCGACTTCATAATCTTGTGCGCGTGTGGATCACGGATATGCGAGACTACTGTATGCCCGGTGCATTCACTTCCAACGAAGCGTAAAATACTTTACAACTCTGATGAAATATGGACAAGGGGACTTTCCATATCAGAAAAAGCATATGACATTGTTCTGATTAGTCGCTATCCTGTGGGGAAACATACTAGGACTCTCCAGTGTTACCTAGAAGGGAGGAGCATTTTGGATGGAGTTATACACTCATTTGCAAACCGGAATGAAATTAGCGAAGCACTTAGCTCGGCTGAATCACTTGCTTATAATAGAATTCAAATGAGTGTTTTACAAAGGTGCCTTACGTTTCAGCTGGAACGGTACTCAAGAAATCGGAGTAAATTTCTTGACCCCTAGGGATTTTCGCCGACTTTGTAAGTGTTGGGTGAGCGCCGTACTCCAGTTGCCAAAAGCGTCCTCTACCATAAACCGCGGTGGCTTGGTGGTCCTGCTTCATTGGCCACAATTTTTCTTACCAACATCTTTCAGATTGGCCCTAAACCAACAGGTGGATAAGTATATGTGGAGATTGTGGCGCGATCTGCCTTCCAGGATCGAGCTTCCGTAGTCCTTGGTCCGCTAGATTGAATGCTCTTCGGATGTCATCGGTGGTGGTTCGGACGTGACATTCTTTTGGTTCATAGCTGATGTGGAACTCGGTGGCAAGAGGGCTGAGATACCGCGCAATCCTGAAGGTATGTAACGAAAACCAGGGTTGGGTTCAAACTGCGGGACCAGGCAGTCAGTAGTTTCGTGCCTTAACCGCCAAGTTATCCTGAGCTTTGGTTTGCCAAAGCTCGTTCTGTTAATTATACCGGCTGAATTGGTTTACGTAACTCGGGATGATTGCAACCCGCTAACACCTGGTCTCTCCACCACTTTAGGGCTTTGAAAAGAAAATTTCTGTTGTACGGCAGTGAAGCTTGGGTGGAAACACTGTTGTTGTCTGTGACGATGATACTTCACAGGGCTCGATCACACTGGGTTATGGGCTTATGCGATGAGCGAGCCATGTGGTGCTTCGATTTTCCAGAACTCTGCAGACTGATTTTCTAAAAGGCTGAATACAGCACTTTGAAGAGCAACGGCTCACTTGGATGGTTACATCGTGCGCTTCAAAACTATCGCATGAAACCAAAACATGACAGGCACTATGTACAGCTTTAATCGTTTCCTAGTTATCAGCGTGCGAAACGACGAAGTTACCCTAGTTCGTAGTGTGCATAGTGCATGTGTCAGTTTGACCCGGACAACTCGGCATCCAGTGCTACAAGCTAAGATGGCTTTGTTATGCGCTATACATGTCATGTCTGCCGAAAAGTGTTTTCTATGCCTACTTCGGAGTGCTGGGAGCATAGAGGCGGAAAGATAATGAAATGGGGGATATGATATCACCATTAGTCTGGGTGGTGTTCGCCTTCCAGGATGTGGCCCATTCTGTACTTGACTGTCAGCTAACCGATATCAATGGCGTCCATGTTGTCAGTTCTTATGATGACTACTTGACTGATCGTTGGAGATTTAAGCACCTCAGATACTTGTGGTAGGCTAGCTCCCAGGTCTTTATTCAAACAAATTAACGTAGCTGTACATCAGTGAAGCACCGGTGTTCATTCTCTGACGTTACTGTAAATGATGGCGACTTTTCCACCCTTCATTGGCTGCGGGGTTGGTTCGCACGTACTCGTTGTCGCCACTGATAGGTGCAACCGCGGGATGCTCAAAACTTCAGATATGGCGTAAGCTGAGTATTAGCACAATGAAGGCCGTGCTTTGCACGTGTTCATATTAGAAGCTGTAAGAATAACGTCATTACAACAAAATAACACCTTGGTTGATCTCGATCTAGCCCATTATGTTTCAAATCCATCTGTTTCTTATTTCTCGACTGCTGCTACTTAGACTTGGGCCAACCTACAGTATCTCAGACCGCGTGCTTTGGTCAAGTTTCGTAGGAGCCATACAACGAAACGCTCGCATAAACGGATTCTGCCTGACGTATGAAGTTACTCTTCACCTACTCATCTTACAGCCCTAGTGATTACGTTTTGTTTGTCTCCAGCAGGCGCTTAACGAGGATTTCGGCTTAAAACCAAGCTACTGGTGTAACGGTGATACTACTGATCGGGAGGCACGCGAGTAGTATGTGTTGTTCGTAGAATTTCGCTTTGCGGAATTCGCGGGGCCACTTTGTAACATTTGCTCGGATTTGACCGATGAATGATTGGAGTCAATGAATCTCCAGGAAGACTCGTTCGGGAGATCTGTGTCCAGTTTTTGTAACTAAGATGCAGATTAGAGTTTTGCTTCCCTGTTCAATGGTCTGTAACCGGTCAGTTGGCATTTCCGAATAAATAACTCCGCAGCGAAGGCCTTCTTCCTTTCATTTCGTGCCGTGACCAGGATAAAAAGTGAAAGGAAGAAGGCCTTCGCTGCGGAGTTATTTATTCGGAAGTGCCAACTGACCGGTTACAGACCATTGAACAGGGAAGCAAAACTCTAATCTGCATCTTAGTTACAAAAACTGGACACAGATCTCCCGAACGAGTCTTCCTGGAGATTCATTGACTCCAATCATTCGTCGGTCACATCCAAGCAAATGTTACAAAGTGGCCCCGCGAATTCCGCAACAGAATTCCCTTTTTCAATCGACGCAAAGATTCTATCTACGAACAACACATACTACTCGCGTGCCTCCCGATCAGTAGAATCACCGTCACACTGGCTGTTATAGCTGTCGAGGAAAAAACACTCTCTGGTACACGATTAAACAGTTAGCGCAGTTTATTGTGAAACAAGAATGCGCACCATGGCATATCAAGAATGAGAGAACATATGTACAAAGGTGTGAGACTTGACGGGGTCCGAATAACATCCGGCGCAGTTGGACAACGTGGAACGGTACGTTCACTGAGATGCCTAGTCGTCAAACTCGTGAAGTTGGAAGCGCTCTTCATCATATAACTTTGCATGAACAACTCGGCCAGCAAAAAAACGCTGGTTCAACGATTCGCACGCCGCCTGCGCCGAAGCAGACCGGTCAAAATGTACAAATATACGAACATCCGATTTGACGTGAACGAAAACGCGTAGAACGTGTCCAAAGTTGGAGCACTCTTCTGCCACTTCTCCCTCCAGATCTGGGTCCACTTCTTCGGCACTCACCATGTTCTCCAACAATAAGACTCTGAAACAAAAATAAGATAGTTACGTTTGTACTGTGGAAAAACAAATCACAATATGAACACAACCAGGCTGAATTGCAAAGATCTCGTTATTCGGGATCTGAGTAAGAACACTCCTTCTTCAACAACCGAAACCAGAAAAGATGAATGGAAATGGTCAGCACAACGAAATAGCCCCTATAGCAATGGTGTCCAACAATCCCCTATCAAACGAACTCTAACCAGTATTCTTGATCCAAACAAACTATAGAACCTAGAGAATAGGGAATCCCACCGTTAGTTCGCTTTCAGCAGTGGTTATGGTAAACAGAGGGTTGAGACTTGAGTGCAAACGTCAGCAACAAAAAGGAAACCAACATTCCGGTTGGGAATGGGTTTATTGTGAGACTATCGCCTTGATCACCCAACACCGATGGAACACTCTGGATCCAAGATCAAAATAAAGCTCTAAATAGCGCAATTTCCTCGCAGTTTTGTACTCGCTTGATTGTGACAGTTTTTATGTCTCTGGTTGGCAAATCTTCGTCATCAAGGTACCGGAGGCGGGTTGCAGTTAGTTACAACATAAAATATGCCATTTTGCACTGAAGGAAAAAAAACTTGTGCATTGAACAGCGTGAGTTGCACTTGCAACCCTACTTCAAACACCTGACCCGTGCGTGACAGACATTCAAACGAACGCAAACACTGACTTGAACTATGCGAACAAAAGCACTTCACATCCGTGAAATGTTTGAGATGATGTGTTCGCCGCGGTCAGTTACAGTCCTGTTTATGATTGAGCGCACCTCGATCGGAACAATTCAAGGCATGAGCCTACAGCTAATCACTTACTTGCTAAGTGATACAGAAGGCCAGCTTAATAGCAGTCGTGGGACACACGAACAGTCGTTGAGATTATCTAGAAGACGGAGCGTGGTGGATTTTCGGGCAACAATTTCTCCAAATGCGCTTGACTATAGAAAGCGCAACAAAACGTAGTACATTGTTCAAGGAGTGTGGCTCAAGTGATTCGTCGACCTCATACTCAAGCGTCCGGGCGGCCACAATTTCTAGTGACGACCAGTTGAAATGATGACTTTTCCAGTTATGCTACGATACCAGCCAGCCTTTGAAGTTAATGTAGCCAGCTGGCAAGAGTTGAAGGAGTCACTTAATTCAGCCTAGCCACCCGCTTCATGCCGCATCCCTTGTACGGATATAAGGGTCCCATTGAAACCTGCTGTCTGAATTAACCTAGAGATATTTCGAATTTTTATGTGAAGGTGATCAACCTACTGGACTAGGGGATTACCGTTCGAAATGCAGTGATACCTTACAACTTTCGTACTTGGCCTTTCATTGTTCAACTGACAGCAAGCAGCCTCGTTGAGCTTAGTTTGGATGCCAGAGAGATCCGAAGTTCCAGGGCGAACAAGCCAACGACCACCATCTATAATCTTGTATACCAATCGAATCAAAAGAGCTGTTTCACCCGACTGGTGACCTTCAAGTCCGCAGGGACTTATCATGAAAAATGCTGGATTGTGCTCTGCAAGTGGTGCCCACAGCCTTCGGCTTTGACGAGAAAGATTTGTGGAACTAGATTTCACAGTTAGTTTTAATGGTGTCGGTGGAATGCTGAGTCTACCAATTTGATTAAAATAACCACTGAACAACGTGTGCTATAGCGCTTCGCTTAGTTTCCCTAAAGGATGAGCTAACGCCTAAAGCTGATGCTGGATTTATACGCACAACTGACTTCTGTGCCCACCTGGATAAAGGTGCTTCAAACAAGAACGCGGATGTATCTTCGTTGTTTTCTTCGGTTTCATGCGAAGACTCGGCAGCCACTGGTGGTAAAGGAAGCTCCGAAGGGAAAGTCGGAATGGCGGCATCATCGTCTTCCCACATGGACGTGGTGGTGACCGAGCCAGGTTCTTCAGCTAAAAGTGGTTAGTCATGAGAATAAAATCGAGCATTGTAAAGAAAACCATTTGCCCTTATGGCCAAAAGTAGTGTTACACGAAAAGTGCATAGTGGTACAGAAGAACGCGATGCATCAGACTTTGTTCGGACCATCTTGGGGTTTCGGAGCACCGCACCATTAAGGACGATGGAATATGGTAAACTGGTGACTGATGGCACACTTTAGACTTCAGCTCAGTTAAATAGATTTATCGCGAAAAAGACGCAAGAAGCCAGCAAAATAATCGGCCAACAAACACAACCACACATTCTGTGTAACCGTGACATAACCTTCACGCAAGCAACCCACATGCTGGTCAAAATTGACTTGTGAACAATGTTCCCCCGGTTCTAGCATTACAAAGCGATGTAGGCCATGCAGATCGGCGCTGTCTGAAATTCGACAAGGTTAGGTGCTTGGAAATGAATAAAAGTCTTTTCTGAGAATACACCAAGTGGCCCGAATTATCCACGGCACTGATCCTTCGAACTTGGTGAAGATCCCGGGAAATAATTTTTTCTGATAGAGTGGACGGACAACTCTAACGTGCAATCTAGAAACCATCGATAAGCAAATCGAAACTGCAGAGATCCATCGGTTTATGTTAAAGTATGTAGCACGTACACAAAACATATGACGTACAAAAGGACTGGACAAGGTCCTACGATGAGTAGCAGCCATGCTGAAAACTGCATGGGCTGAGATAACAACCACATCGTCTGGGATGTCAAATGGAACAAAAGTTTCAACCGACTGCCGGGAAACAAGTGATGTAATGCTAGCATGGATGCAAAGCGCGTCTTTCTGCAAGTATATGCCTTCAATCCTTCAGAATGCAGATCATCCGTTGTAATCCGACTGATTCGACGGGTATTTGCGATTCCTTACTGCATCTTGCATACAGTTCTGTCAGCAGACTTCACAGGCACAGCTGAATGCCACTGATATCTCCAGCACATGTTCGTAAGATGTACGATTGCTTTACCAGGGGACAGATCTCAATGAGCAGGGGGAGACTGCAAAAATGCAGCTCCAAGAGTCAACAGTGACACCGCCTTATTTTTCCAGAATTCCATACCAAAGACCTTAGCAAACCTCCTTACTTTTAACGAGTTGTGGATAGATAGTTTTCCCTCTGATATGTCCAGTCAACAAGCTCAAGGTGCGGCAAAAGGAATTGAATTGAAGGCTAGCGAATTAGGAGAATTCGGTGGACCAAATAGTTCTACTAGCATCGGTACATGCTGTGTTGGTCTGATAATGGTCGGCAGAACATCTACAATGGATGACTTCAACTGCAGAGACCACTATGGTATTCTGGTTATCTACCTGCTGAGCTATACCAGCCATAGTTCCCACCTAATTGCTCAGAAACGACAGGGTTCCAGTGTGAGTTTTGGCATGGGCAACCCGAACTGGACGGAATAGCATTATCATATCAGGATAAAAATAGTATCTTTAAATCATAAGCATTCCAAACCCACTGCACATTGCACTACAATAAAATCAAATGAACATGAAAAATTCAAACAATAGGCCTAAGACAAGTGCCCTACCCGCTAGCACATATAACATCACTCGTCGGCCTAAAAGGATGCAATTTTGAAATGGTCACTTTGTTGTATATGAAGTGAAAGTCACGGAAACTACGCCACTATCACATACCTGCTTGTTGCTGCTCATCGGGTGGTGCCGTACCCAGGGTTGTCGGAACAAAAACGCCCGGAGGAGGAAGGTTGGGCACCGGAAGTGGAGGGCCCGAAAAACCAGTATTATTGGATTTCGTTGTCTGAAAAGTCGGGAGAAATCGGTTGAACGAGGGACGAACCAAAGCACCTGAACCCTGTCAAGAAATCCATGCGATTATTGAATTATGTACCCAGACCAGCATCTAGGTAATGAGCCGTGTGAGCAACGGACCACTAGGTGGATCAGGCACACAGCGAACACATGATACCTGTGAATCAAGGCAATTTGCGTACAGGCCTGCTCGCTTGCACTCCAAACTGGAGTGGAAGGTCAACGACATCAAGGACGAGGATTTATGAGCAAGAGCTGTTGTCTGAACTTCATTGTTGATATGGTGTGATTAGCAAACTGCCAAAAATTGTTGTTCGACCACTCTCGCTGTGTTTCCACTTCTCACAGTCCTCTTATCAGAGACCAAATTGTCATTTGGAATAGAATTCCTGAAAGTAGTTAATAAGACTTCCGGAGTAGCCCTACGATATACGCGCAAATGACCACTTGCAGTGAGAAAATAGCTGAGGCAAGTAATGAAAAAACCTCAATATTCCGTAGCAGTCAGATTCCGAACCATGGTACTGACTTCGACTACAGATCAGCGGTGACGCGCATGCAGTAAGTAGCTTTAATTCAACTTACAAGAAGTCATGTGGCTTAGGTTGCATAGGCACAAAGAAGAGCAACCGAAGATTAGAGACTGAATCCCACATAGTCTGTCACAATCACGCATCAATTGCAGCATTTGATGAACATCTCAACTCCGTAAGTAGTTCAAGCGGTTAGGTGACACGTCAACCAACGCTGGAGCGTGAGAAAGCAGCTTGATATGGCCAATCCCACGGATCAATCAGCAACATTCGTAAATCTGTGAGTCGTCATCGTGGGCTAGCAAATAAACTTGGTCGTTCTGTGTCCCTAAACAGCATTAAGCTATAGCAAAGGTTTGATTTCATAAATTGTCCAAGTCAGGCTCTCCAGGTATCGGGCACATAGATCGGAAACGAATATGGTATTGTTCCGTGGACGAAGCCCCCGAGGAGAGGTGAGCATCTCCTCTCCTAAACAACCAATAATTATTACCAGTGAAACGATAAAAACATATCTCCATCTCGGATTGAGATCATTTTACTCTCGCTCATGCGTACCACCGCTTAAAATGTCAACTATCTCGATTGAACACGCGGTTTCGCCAACAACGATCCACTGTCTCTCCAACTACTCGTATCATTGTGTGGTTGCCCCTCGCCATCCGGAGAGACACTTGTGAGTTGGTCCATTGAACTATTTTAATGGTGACCTGTTACGGAGGGAGATGGTCGGTGAGATAGTCTCAGAAGAGTGAGACAGCGGCATTTAGAAAATTCTGTTTGGATCGGTTTGACGAAGCCCGGGTAGAAATCAGACTTATTGAGGTCGGAGGAATTAGAGTGATGCAGTAGTTATTTGACATCAGACAGACAGAGTTAGGCTTTTCTGATCATAGGGAGACTCTTCGCCAACCGAAAAGTTTGCATATTGACCATTTAGTACAAACTATGCTTCGTTATCATATCAGGCATTATAAGCGCTTTTAAAATATCTTTAGTTCCAAGGATACGTAGTTAAGCGCTCGGATAGCAGTGGCTCCCTCAAACCATGTAGCATAATTCGAAAACACTGAAATGAATACGGCGATCTTACCTAAATGAAAGTTCCGTCCATCCACGGTTACTCAATGTTCATATTTCTCAGAAGAGTGAAACGAACGCAACTCAGCGAAATGGATCTAGGACCGAAGACATCACTTTTCTTTGACGCGGCAGCATGACTTCGACGATTGCCGGGTTGTTACAGCCGATCAATTTAGTGGCCAGTGAATAGGTAATAGATGCGAGATTCTCTTCCAACGTTGCTAACCTATCTACGCAAGAAACTAGTGCTGTACTATGTCAGCACCGTGCTTAGGCTGCTTCGTCACCAAAAACAGTCCATTCTCGTAAATGAACGTCAAAATCAGGTGCCTGAGACGTCATATGAACTAACACAATACTTACTAAATCGCATGCACAGCAATACTGTACGACAGCTACTTCACAAGCTCTGTTGTTAAAACGCAACTATTAGGTCACACAGCAGTCGAGAAGGCGTGCTGATTCCGACTGACCTTCTCAAATGATGAAAGAAATTGGAGTGTGGCTTCACATCTAGTCCTGAGATGGTGACGCATTTCACTAAATGTTGGCGGCGGCCATCCCATGTATGTATAACACTTTGAATCAATAGACCAGAATTCACACCTCACCCCAAACAACGTAAAGTAGTTGCAAAACAAACCTTTTCAAACATAAAGCGCACAAAATGTTGGTTTCGTCTCACCAATGCATCATCAGTGACCGTTCAGAAAACCATCGTGGCCGAGCTAAATACGATTCTTTACGGGTTGAGAATTTAAGGTTTGCGATTATGGGTTTACCTTGTTCGATGCAGTGATGCTTCACTGCCGCAAAACCATAGAGTTCATCCAATTATATTTAAAGAATGGGTGACCAAGGGGATCTAGTGCAGGTCTACTGCAAGAATACTGAGTTGCCTACATCTTCGAACGCCCAATCAGACATTCTGGAAAGAAACTGACAGCAAGAAACGCCATTGAATTCAATCAACCGCCATTTCTTGCAATATCTCTAGCCGAGCGCAGGAGGGGTCACGGTGACCCCATCCAACAACACTTAAACCTTTTTGTAATCTCTTTCACATCATTCTGTCAAGTAATTCGTTGTCCACTTCGCGGTCTACGCTACTCTGAAGACGGCACGGAGAACAACACTGGTCTCGGTAGACTGTTTCCACATGCGTAGCAAATGACCGAACCACCGCAGTTGGTAGTGCTGGATATACTCCGAGGATGAATT